CACACATGCACTCTTTGTAAAATGGTGGTGTACCACCTTAACTCCAAATAGATTTATAGTTGTGTAATATTACACTTTTCAGCACCTTATCTTGGTACCACTTTCACACATTACTGGTTTTTATCAGTGCAGCTCAAAATATTGCTTCCTGGCAGGAAAGAAGCAGGTTTCCCGGCCAAGATCTGCCTATTTTGAGCACTATTTGGGTTTTTGGAAGAGAAATTCTCTATCATTTTTGTCATTGGCAGTGTTGCAAGACCTACAGTTCATGCACTATTACAGCTACAGTCAATAATAAACTTCAAGCAGACACCTTATGCTCTTTATTTTGCTTTTTTCCCTCATAAATACTCATTAAATATAGTTCTCAGTAAAACAAAAGTAGAGATAAACTCTTTTTCAGTCTTTGGTCTACTTTAAGATCTTCAAGATCAGGTAGAAAGAGATCATCCATAATAGTTCATAACTGTTTAATATTCGCTGGGAGCTATTTGACTGTTATTCAAAGATCACAGTCCATCTACAAAGGACCACACAGCTATGACAGACTTGTGACATGCTAGCTTCACCATGCGCAGTTCACAGCAGACCTCCCATATGATGTAGCCTTCACAGATGCCAATGACAGTATTTGTACTTTTGTGTATCGTGCACCTCCATTACTTTGTATTGTCACTGCCAAAACGCTGGATAGTGAAGTTTTCTCTTCAATCCGATCTATTCTCGTTCAGTCAATTTAACACAGGACCATGAATCCGGCGTGAGGCACACAAATCTGCCTTTGAGCACAGTGTATCCACGCGCCTGCTGTTCAGACCTTTTGTTTGCAAGGGGTAGCCAATCAGAGCAAAAGTGACTTAAAGGGACAGGAGCTAAAACACCAATACTAAGGAGTTGTACCAAGACCCACTATAAGATAAATGACTATTCTGAATAATGTCATTAGAGTTCAATAATAATAATAATAATAAAAGTTTTGGATAAATTAACCAGAAAGCATTTTGAATCTAAACCTCCCCGATTAAGTTTCAGTCAAGGCACAAAACAAGAAAGTGATGCAGTTTTTCCAGA